AATGTCAGGTCAATATTATTGATTGCTTCACAATTATTTCATATCACTCTAATTCAAGGTTATTGAAGGTGATGGAAGCACTTTGGATTAATCACATACATCCGAAACTATGTGTACAAAGCACAATAGACTTCAACCTTCATCTACCATGAACTGACTACTTGACCTATTTAAATGTGATGATTGGTCAGCAGCGTGTACTTTTGTTTTATATAACTGAGTAATTGTCATGCGTTTTATCTAATTAATTATTGTGAACAATGCTAGTTGTAAAGCGATTGTAGAGAAGCTACGAAATGATACCATCGTCCCGCGAAATTTGTCTTCTAAATGTTTTATTCAAATTTTGTCGAATGCCAATTATAACAAGTGCAGGAGTACATTTTGAGAATCAAGGACACTGCTCAAGAACAGTTATCTTATGTACGGGGATAAGCTGCCATACAGGATGATGCTTTATCTCATGCAGTGTGTGCGTTGGTGGCATAGTGGTTAGGATGCTCGCCGACCGTGCACGTGGTCCGTGGGTCGATCCCCAGCCAATGCACTCCTTTACCTCCCTAAGCCAGAAATAAAGCTGGTAAAGGGGAAAAGTTGGGCATGAAGCTAGCAACCTCATGCTGTAAAAGTGAACGCTGCTACCGAAACTTCAAGCCTCTAGCTCGAAGTTTTCGCTAGCCCAAGTATTAAGCACTCCGTCGACAAGGTAGACAGTGGCTTGTCATGATTAACAGAATTTCTAGACGTCTCAATAAATATAGCTTTATAAACTCATTGACTAACTCGCCCTCCCTGCTACTTAACACTGTACGCCTCAATTCAGTATTACAACACACCATATTATACCAAATAAAGTATGAATTGAAACTGAATTCCCATCCGATGCAACGCATTATACTTTCTCTAGTACCTATTGTTTTAACAAGTCAGTTATACTTTTAAATTACTGGATGTTCTCATGTATAATTTTTAATTAGCTTTCAAACTACCCTTACACATATCTTGGAGTTTATTCGGTGCTTCAGAGTGAACGGCGTGACATGATATACAATAGGTTACCATTTTACTTGAAGATCTGGGGTGAAGAGAAAATTTTAGGTAGTAAATTAGTGATAAGATTCACCTTGAAATAGTAGTCATCTTGTGATTCATCATGTGATCCATTGTGTGATCGGATAAGTGTGAAACTTCATCATCCTTTGTCTCACCTTGGTCTTGGTCAAATTTCCAACCAATCAGAATATTTTTATTTTTCTCCTACGTTAACCGAATTGCCTAACAATTGGAACAATTTATTTTCACTGCCCTGGGTAGATTTTAAATGTGGTGTAAAAAATTTATAAATATGACGTATTCTTCCTAATAAAATTGTATCCTAACGGTCACATGCCAGTCTTTGTCTTTTAAAATATTTACGTAGCTCAGTGAAGCAGAAGGTACCACTGAGGAACAGGTGGGTTGTTGTTTATTGCGTCAGTATTATATTTTTGTTCAAAATGAGTTTGTTATTATTATTATTGAACCTAATTCATTTATGCACATAAAAAGTACAAATTGTCCTTCCTATGACACAACATAATACCATAAATTTTTCCTAGACAAAATAATATAATAGAAAGAGTGAGCGAAGAAATATTTACTTTTCACAATTAGATCCTCATCTCTGGTTCTACTCACTAAATTAGAGAATGGACCACTGAAAGGAGTAATTAATGACATGGATTTCTACTGGATTTCGATATATGGATGATACATTTGTGGTTATGAAAGACGAGAATGATGCAATGAATATCCTTGACAAGTTTAATGATGCACATTCAACAATACACTTTACCATAGAGAAAGAAAGTAACGTGATAGTATCTCATTCCTAGACGTCTTCATGGCAAGGAAAGAAGATAGCACACTAAGAAGGAGTGTGTATAGGAAACCTACAACAACAGGTCAGTACACTCATTTTTTGAGTTTTGTACCTTTGAAATATAAACGTAACCTGGTAAAGTGTCTGGTTCATAGAGCTAAGTTAATCTGTTCAGACGACTGCCTCAATGAGTAGCTTAAGATTATTAGAGAATTACTTAGAAATATGGTTATTCAGATAAATTCATTGAGAAAAATATGAATTCAGCACCAAAGAGAGTCAGTATGGCTACAGTTCCGAAGAAACCAATGTTCATAAAATTGCAGTTCCTCGGTGACAACATCAGCGAAATAATAACACAACGCTTGAAGAATGCAGTTAAAAGAGCTTATTATGCGGCAGAAGTACGTTGTCTCTTCACAACCACCCCTACTCTATTTTCGAGAAATAAGGATAAACTACCTAAATTCGCCTCTTCTATGTGTATCTACCAGTTTGACTGCAGCTGCGGAGGCAGCTACATTGGGTGTACAATTAGGCAGGTTCATCGTCGTATTTCCAAACATCATCCATCATGGTTAAGCAAGGGACAAACAGGATCTATTCGTAGTTCTATTTTAGCACACCTTGTTGATACTGAGCACAAGGTTGATGTGAATACAGCATTTAAAATTATTTATCGCATTCCGACTAATCTTAATTTTGCTCTACGAGTTCGTCTTCTACAGACAGCTGAAGCAATCGGAATCCACCTGAAGAAACCAAACCTGTGTGTTCAGAAGAAATTCGTACAGCCACTTTCCTTGCCTTGGCCATCTCTAGAAGAATGCATAAACAGGGCTACGTCGCCCCCTCCCCCTAAACCTATTAAATTATAATTGTCCAAATTATTTTATTTTTATTTTGACCACTACATCTTTAATTACGTGTTATTCTTGTAAAATTAATTTATCCTATCCATTTCTACCTTTTAAATGTGTATTGATTTTCTTCTTTAATTATCAACCCATCGACATTTTGACACTGTTTAATTAAAATAATATAGTATCCGAAATGTAGATTTTTTAAGGAATCATCAATCGTTTAACGAATCAATGAAGAGCTAGGAATCACTGGACAACTGTTTTGCCCTAGTTTAGGACTCTTCATCCGTGAACATCTATGACTTGGCTAGGGGTCAAAACCAAAGTCTTCAGGTGATGAGTCCTAGTTTGGGACAAAACAACAACTTTCCACTACTCCCTGGTTTTCAGTCATTCTCTAACTAATGTTGTTTCGTGACGATATCTACACAGAAATCAATCGAAATCTCCATGATACTCGTGATCTAGGAGTAGAAATCCAACCTGATATTGATAACATGTGACAAGGATCCAAGATGGTACAGAATTTAAGATAAGAAAGAGAAGCTGAAATATGACGGATATTATATGTTTAGATAAAGCAATAAAAAGACATAATTTGTCTGAATCGTGTAATGTATTTGCTCAACACATTTTGAACAATCTGATCACACACGGACTTGTCAAAGGAATATATATGAAATTAATTTAGAATTAATAGGTGAGAAAATAGACTTAGGTAAAGTTAAAAAGACATATCGAAGTTCAAATTATTAATGAAGACCACTAAACCAAATAGCAGAGGTCATAGTACATCAGCTATGGTATCAAAACAAAATTTACCAAGAATGGTAGGTTTAATGTGATGACGAATTGTTTTTGAACGCATAGAGGTGGTTTAAACTTTCTAATTGCCAGCTAGGGCTTCCACAAACTTTAGGATACGCCCCAAACACTTTTTATAAATAGGTTTAAAAGATCTGTTAACGTCAATTTTATGTCCTGTCTCTATAATATGTTTCGCAATACAGGAGCTAGGTTTCCTGTTCTCACCATTAATGGGTTCTGAAGACTCCATTTTTTTCTGGAGCCATTTAGGAATATTCTGTGAAGCCCTTACTTGCAGAGATTGATGAGTCTTCCCTATGTATGTGTGTCCACACGTACATTCGAATTGGTGAATACAGTGGGATGTGACATCATTTTTCGCATGTTCAAAGGGCTTACCTAGATATACTGGCTTCACATTCTCAATTATTATAATATTAGCTACATAAAAAGTCTTTTTAACAGCAGCGTTCAGTCTTTGTCTAGTTATCAAGCTGCTATGATGCCCCATATAGGGTAGCTTGGTGTGCACTTTTTTCTTAGGGGCGTGTTGGAGAGTGGGTCTTGGTGTTCTGACCACTTTATATCTCCTGATGAACTTGTCTGGATAACTGTTATCAACCAGAGTTTGTGTCAACTTTCTTTCTTCTTCATCAAGTGTATCTTCAGGGCATATTCGTTGGATTCTTCTGAAGAGGCACCTTACTAAGACTCTTCTGTACCGAACAGGTCAGAAACTGTGGTAATTAAGATACTGTCCTATCCAGGCAGATTTTATATAAATAGATCTTTTTATTGACCCATCAAGCCATCGACTAAGCAATATGTCTAGGAAGGATAAACAAATATCTTCCTCTTCTACAGATGTAAGTGATATGCTACTCTGAACTTCATTCATTCGATTTAAAATTGAGGTTGCAGAACAAGACTTATCACTGATGATTACAATCTCATCTAAATATCTTTTATAAACTGGCACATTTTCGATTAAATCCTCCGATATTATATGATGGAAAGGGTGTGAAATAATGATAAAACAGCAAGGGAGATACTAAAAAACGTTATTCTACCCTAAGCTTCATTAATATCTAACTATAACGACACGAGTGAAAGATCTTACATAAATTTATTATCTGAATATGATTTTGGACCGCAGATAAAAACTTCACAGAACTACTAATTATATAAACCAACTGTAAAAATTTTGCTCTTCTTCTTCAGTGGAAATCGCTGGAATTCCCAAATGTTACAACCTCCTTTTAAATACGGATAGAAGCAAATCTTACCTCTGAAGTCATCTACTACCTAGAAAAATTAGCCCTTGCAGATATTCATTATTCCGCTGACACTGAAATACATAAACAGTCATAAATTATAGTAATAAAGGACGATGAACAATAATAGGTGAGATAATGTAGTTATTAATTTAATTTAATGTAGATTAAGGCTAAACACTTTGATAAACCTACCATCACATTATTCTTTCCATAGAGTAGAGTGCTTTTTCTTGTCTGATACAGACTGTCAACACTGTTATCGGTAAATGAAGAGTCTGATAGCGAAGATGAATTTCCAATTCTTGTTAACTTTTCAAATTTCTGTTCCACACTTTTATAACTTTCAGGGAAACACGACTGGTAATGTAAACAATGTGGAATAAAAAAAGTAAAATATTAGTTTAAGATTATAAAGTTTGTTAGATTTCACCATGAATCAACATTAATTACAGAGATAACTGGAAACTAGGGAGTACTAGACAACGTTTCGTCCCATCTCGGGACTCCTCAGATGTACGAATACACTATGCACTTAGGGAATCCATGACCAGTGGAGTCCAATATCTCGAGGTGAGGTGGGTGGCAGTCGAAGGCATTGGTGAAGGTACCACTGTACCACGAGTTGAATTCCAGTTCAAGTGGTTGAGCAGTCAACAAGCTTGGTCATGGGTTCGATTCCTGGTACGATCCCAGGTGCTTACGGATGAAGAGTCCCGAAATGAGAGGAAACAGCTTTCCAGTTCTCCCTGGTTTCAAGTGATCTGTCTAAATGCCTGTGGCTCATGAAAAAATCTAACAATATTAGTGGTTTCTCAAATTTATTCATGTTAAGGAGTTACAATTTGGTCTAAGATATTTGTGTGCTGGATGCACCTAGACATCGCTGATGATAAAACCATAACAGAAGTTAATACGTAGTGTTTAGTGAATTTGCACCATTCAAGCTACTTTTGTGAATAGGGAAATACTGAGAATTCTTAATGCGACTTGCATCTGTTATCAGTTAACAGTCATATCAAGGACGCGATTTTTATTCTATAGACAGATCATTTCAGATTCAGTTAGATAAATAGCTGACGCTCATTGGTTCAGATGAGAATTTCAGTGGTTCAGAAATCTAGCCTAAAATGCTCTGAAGTTTAAATTAATAGGTGCGGAGTTCGAGTCTTACTAACAGCACTGTCATTCTTAGTGATGTAGGTGCACCTCAGAGAGAGAGCTAATGGCTAGACTGTAGTCAAGTGGTTAATTTTACCAGATCAAAATATCTCCATTTATACCTTTAGAAACAAGGATTATTTGATTCTAGGCTAATTTGTACTTCCTGTTGATTACTATGCTGGACTGTACTCAAACGCCTAGTCTCTGTTGGCATGTCATCTTCTAGTTCAGACGCTTTGACGATGTTTAAAGACTAACGTGATGTAGCTTTTTCTTAATTGTAACTAGCAGTGGGATATAGGGAGCGCATTTCGTTAGGGACTAGTTAGTTGAATGTTCCTACATCCCCCGTGTGTGATGGTGCTTCCAATGAGGCTCGTAACCTACACTCATCGCTACAAACGCCAAAGAATTATCCACTGGGCCAATGAGCTGACCAAAAATAACATTATTTTAATAATCAGACACTACCAAAAATTAAAACAGGTGCCTAACTAATCTAAAGTTTGCATGTTGAGAAACAAGAAACAGAATGAGTGGTAGAATTATTAAAATGCGTAGTAGGAAACTGAATGAGTGGTTATCGCATTTAGCACCACAACATTGATAAATTGTGTATTGCATTATTATTATTCCCTTTAATTCCTAGAGGAACATAGGGCTTCAGCCGCGCGTCTCCATTGCTTTCGGTTCTCTGCTAGAGTCTTCACCTGGCTCCAAGTCTGCCCACACGCTTTCATCTCCTCTTCACATGACCTCATCCAAGTCACCCACCCTTGCACTGACGACCAACTCGCCGCTTCCCTTTCGGGTTCCACTCGAGCAATGGCTTGTCTAGTGATGTCACTTGATGCATTGTTTCCTCAGAGTATGGCCAATCCATCTCCATTTCTTCCTGCCTATTTGTTTCACAATTGGTTCCTGCTGAGTTGGTTCGCTCCCGGGCTGAGATCCATGTTACTGATCTTTTCTGGCCGGCATCTGATCTTGAGTATTGAGCGAAGACAACTGTTGATGAAGGTCTGTAGTTTGTTTGAGATGCTCTTTATGACGCGCTGGCCAAGTCTCTGATCTGTTTAGTGAGTAGCACTGACTTCACATTGGAGTTGAAAATCTGGATCTTATTTTTGATGCTGAGTGCTGTTGACCTCCACACAGACTTGATAGTAGTGAAAGCTTGTCTTGCTTTTCCGATCCTCGCTGCTTTGATATCCTCGTCAGTTCCGTCGGTCTTTATTTGAAACGATGCTTCCCAGGTAGGTAGGTAGGTGAAGGAGGTTGTTTCTTTCAGGTTCCTTCCATTTATGCTGATTGTTGTCTGTTGTTGTTGTCGCTGTTGTTGTGGTATTGCCCAGGAATCTTCATCACCTCTGTTTTCCTTATGTTCACGAGCGAAGAATAAGTATTGTATTAAAAGTACTTTATACACTAGTATGGAGCAGTTGATGTGAGTATAATTTAAAGGTAAACGTTTCTTCTCTCGGTTTGTTGTCTTCTAAATAGAAGATAAACCAATAATCAGTATAGCGGCTTCAGTTACCTGCAATTTATGATCAAGGCAGTTCCATGCGCTTATATTAATCATCCATAATAATATACTTGCCACGCAGAATAATTTGACAAGTGAATTTCTTTTTAATTTTAAAATTGAAGATTGAATAAGAAGGATTCAGTCGACTTCGTGAAAATACCATGAACTTTCTGTCCTATATCCTTCATTTTCTGTCACTCCCTCAACGTATCCATTATTACTCTCGCTTTCATCGAGAGAAGACACATCGGCTGGCTGAATGGCTTCCTGAGGGCTTTCACCAGCCCGCGTCATTTCGCCTCTCCGATTCGAGTGAAGAATAAGATTTTATTTGAAGTTTTTGTATTTTTAGTATATATTTTCTGTGTGTTGAAGTTTCTCTAGCAGTTTGAAAGATTTAGTGGTGTGGGGTTGCTAGCCCCACACCCAACCCTCTCTCTTCATCCGTCTTACGACTGGCTAGAAAACTAGCGGGCTAGTTAACTAGGTGGGGTTTCAACAGGTTGCAGACCTTCATCAACAGCTGTCTTCGCTGCATACTGAAGATCAAATGGCCAGAAAGAATAAGCAACAAGAAACTGTGTTAACAAACCAACAGGGGAGAGCCGATCGATCAACATATATGTAGGAGAAAGTGGAGATGGATCGGGCATACATTGAGGAGGCCACCGAATGACTTCGCACGCCAGGTCCTCGAGTGGAATTCAAATGGAAGCGACAAGTGGGCCGTCAGTGCGAAGGTGACATGGAGGAGGTCGTGTGAGGAGGAGAAGAGAGAGTTTGGTCAATCGTGGACCCAGCTGAAGAGGATGGCAGAAAACAGAACAAAGTGGAGACGTGTTGCTGAAGTACTATGTTCCACTAGGAACCAAGGGAATTAATAATAATAAATCTTCACAGTACATGTTATCGGCAAGATAAACATTATCATTACTTTTCAATAAGGCATCATACTATATTTCATTATTATTCCCTTATATGAAACATAGAGTTTTAGAGGCATACCTCCATTTGATCCTGTTCTCTGCAGCCTTTCTTAGAAGACTCCACGATCACCCACAAGCTTTTGTTTCCTCCTCATGTGACCTCCACTATATCACCGTCAAACGAACACCCAACTCTTCATTTTCAATTCAGGTTCCACTGAGGGACCTAGTGTTTGATGTCACTTAACAGTCTCCTCAGCATACGTCTGATAGATCTTCATTTACTTCGGTGTATATTATGGGTTGTAGGTTATTGTTTGGTTCATCGCCAAATAGAGTTCTATGTTGCTTATCATTTCTGGCCGTCCCTCCTATATTCTGTATCCAGTGAAGGCAGCTATTGATAAAGGTCTGCAGTATCTTCTTGAGAATGCTTATCGTGACACGCCAAGTCTCTTCACTACATGGAAGAAATGGCTCGACGCTACCGTTACAAACTGGCTTCAGTTTATTGAAGGCTTTGACATCTCCGTCCATGCCACGTGTAGTTGAAACGACGATACTTAGTCAGATAAGTGAAAGAGAGATGACTCCTTTCACATTTCCGCAGTTGACCGTGATTGGTGCTTGTTGTTGGTTCTGTATCTTCATTACCTCTATCTTGTATATGTCCACTTGAAATCTTGTCTTCATTGCCTGTCTCTTCTGACAATATGTTGGTTTTTGCCTATAAATCTTCGGGTTTATGAGACAGACAGTCATACTATGTTGCACACCACAGATTTCCTACGGACAAAATTTTCCTATCGTATAAGTTTACCAGTTTAAGAAATGACACATTAATATGAGTCTTGTTGTATAAAAATGTTTGCTAGCTAGTCTGGAAACATTTTGAGCATGGACGTAATGCAAAGCGACTGGAGACCATGAGACTCATTCACTAGAACAGGTAATCATCTGATTACAATCATGACAGAATGAATGTTACTTAATTGGCTGCTTTTCACGATACGTGCTTTCCTTCTATTTCCCCTTCATTCAATTTTAATGTTGCCGAACTGGAGAGAGTGAACTGGATTTTCATTAAGGGTAGGACTGTGTGGTATAGTGTTGGTTAAGCGAACTACGGTGATGATACTCTAGTAATTCAAGACTACTATACCAGGTAGTATTGTGGTGAGAGCTGGCTGCTAGCCAAATTGGTAGACAGTAATTGACGTCAATGTTTATGTCCCCAATATTGGTGGTGAGAGAATGAGAACAAAGGCTTTGCCTAGGCGGATACAGTTAGCATATGGATGATCTGACACAGCCACAAAGAGATGCAAGGTTAACTTTCTGTGAGAAACAACCAATCAAAAGACTGTATTTTCTACTAACAATAATCTACAATAATGTACATTAAAATCTATAAATATGTGTTGATTTTCCTTAATAAACGATCTATTTTTTGTCCCTTGTCTTCTGTTACAGTATTAAAGTTCTTTCAAGGAATAAGTTAGAAAAAGCAATTTTAAACGATACCTTCGTTTTCTGACAAACTTGTGAAGATCTTCCAATGATCTGATTTTGAGTTGTTATCGAAGTGAAACGTTGTCTTTCAATCAATTCATCTGCATGTAAATTTGACCAATAATAGTCTTCGTGTATCGTTGTAGTGTAGCTAATTGCACATGGACCACCTAAAATTATGCAGTAAGAAAATATTTTATGTCAAGTCTGAAGATTTGTTTTACAGCAATAACTGATCTGGAATTCAGTCATAAATTAAGACTCACTAACATCATCAGTGATGTGTATCTCAAAACTAAGAATAACACTGTCTGTAAGAGCAGATTTTGGTTGATTAAGAATGCTGCTGCAGAATCTTCTCCCATCTTCAGGAACAACACCTCAGTAACTGCATCAATTGTTCCAAGTTTCATTACGGATAGATATCAGTTAGAGAACTATGGCTGAATGATCTACGAGCTTTTCTTGAAGGGAGCGTACTGCCAGTGAGTCCCAAACTAGGACGAAACAGCTGTCAAGTACTCCCTGGTTGTTTTATTTCAATGGTTCTCTAACTGATATCAATCCATGGCCAAACTTAAAACAAATCGTATCCCTACAAGCAAACTCTTGAAGATGCTTCAGCTGTGTTACACAACCCATTACTCGAAATGCACTTTAATTATAAAAACACTAAGCAAGATTTTGGAAACCCTGGTTCTTTAGTTAGACATCACACAGCTGTATAATTTTAAATTTGAACACACTATGTACAAAGTAAGATTTGAGTAGAACAAATAAAGCGATCCGAAATGAAATTAGACTAATGCTTTATCAGCATAAATGCGAGGAACCTGATAGAAACAACCTCCTTTACCTACCGACCTGGGAAGCATCGTTTCAACTACAGGCGGACGGAACTGACGAGGATATCAAAGCAAGAATCGGAAAAGCAAGGCAAGCTTTCACTACTCTCAAGTCTGTGTGGAGGTCAACAGCACTCAGCATCAAAAATAAGATCCGGATTTTCAACTCCAATGTGAAGTCAGTGCTACTTACTATGCGGATCAGAGAATTGGCCAGCGCGTCATAAAGAGCATCTCAAACAAACTACAGACCTTCATTAACAGTTACCTTCGCTCAATACTCAAGATCAGATGGTCGGCCAGAAAAGATCAGCAACAGAGAGATCTCTGGCAATGAGCGAACCAACACAGCAGGAACCGATTGTGAAACAAATAGGCAGGAAGAAATGGAGATGGATTGGATTGGCCATACTCTGAGGAAACAAACCATCAAGTGACATCACTAGACAAGCCATTGCTCGAGTGGAACCCGAAAGGGAAGTGACGAGTTGGTCGTCAGTGCAAGGGTGACTTGGAGGAGGTCATGTGAAGAGGAGATGAAAGCATGTGGGTAGACTTGGAGCCAGGTGAAAACTCTAGCAGAGAACCGAACGCAATGGAGATGCGCGGCTGAAGCCCTATGTTCCTCTAGGAATTAAAGGAAATAATAATGATTTATTTAGGATTGAAAACTTGACAGATCTTTGTTTTAAGTAACCCTCTACGTGTTTTTGTGAATAAAGTAGGTTGGTTGTAAAACAAAGTGGGAATATCCCACTAACAGCTTCTTGTGACACAAGCAGCATACACACCTTATAAAAATCCTACTTCTAAAGTGTTACGTGGACATTTCAATCTTGACAGGATACATAATAATCTCCAGTGTAAAATAACAGTAGCAATAATAATACTGATTCGAAACGTCCAGTCATTGATTTGAAGTATAAGGTTTTCAGCCTGACATTCCATATTTTAAAATGACTGTTCTGTCCAATATACTCTTAAGTCAGCTATTCAATAATTCTAGTACAATTCAGTATAAGCACAATGAGGAACAACGAGTGGTGCACAAGTGTCCTTTTTTCTGGTCTTTGCTCTCTACAGTACTGAAAACGCACGAAAACAATGGAAACTAAATACTTAGCTCAATCAAGTATGAATCATGCAAGTAAATATTCAGTCCTTGGACCGACCAATCATTTAGAGCTATGTACCTTTCACTATTCGATGTCAATCACGTTTATTAAGTCGATATTTGAATACTATTTTAATTTCCACTGGTGAATAACTTCAAAATGAAGTCCCTGAAGTTTTATTGAGAGAGATTGTGACTATTGAAGCCAACCAATTTAAATATTGCGAACTAAGAGAAGTAACTGAAATTCTCGTGAATAATCCCCATCAAGACATGAATAAAAACAAAACACATAGTCCAGCGAAGAGTCTCTTTTCGGCGAATTATATGTACTTATTTCATGTGTGTGTGCACACCATGTTTGTTCGATAAGAATAACTGATTAGTAGACTGCTTCATGGCTAGCCTTGAGAACGGCTCACTCAAGTCATCCACTGACAATTCGCAACTGAACAAAAGATAAGCAGATGGCATTTTCGTCGTTTGTGACAAAATTTACTACCTAAATCAGTTGCTAAAAATATTCAACAAAAACCATCCGGCAGCACAATTCACTCCAATAATGGAATGCGAATCTAAAATTCCCTTTCTTGATGTGCAACTAACAAGACAACCTGACGGAACCTTAAGAAAGTCAATCCAGCTGGGTACCTACTGAGAGGAAACGAAATCTGAATAAATCCCTTGCCACTGGGACCCGACGCATCTGCAGTTCTGACGCCCTGGAGGCAGAACTAGATCTTCTGGAAGAAGTCCTCATCCAAAATGGATACCTACCAAGATTCATTGACAAGAATATCAAACCAAAGGTCCAGAGAAACGAAGCATCACTAGTTTCAAACAAAAAACCCTTCACATGAATCTGGATTTCATGGGAGACTTTGCTTGCGATATCCTCAAGAGAAGAATTTCAGCATCTTTGAAAAGAACATTCTTCTCAGTAACGTTAAGAGTAGTGTTCTCCAGTCACCCATTGATCTGCAGAAGCCTTAAGGACAAGATGTCGCATCTGGTCACTTCTGTGTGCATATATCAGTTCATCTGTTGCTGTGGAGCCAGCCAGGTACATTAGTCGTTCGATGCGTATCCTGTCAAAAGGGTTCAAGAACACTATCCCGCATGGCTGCAAACAGGTAATAGTGGCTGTGTAAGGAGTGCGACAGTCGAACATCTCGCCAACACTGGTCATTCCATCTCAACGAACGCCTCCTTCAAAATGATATACAAACTGAAGAACAACCTACCAAAGGCAATACGCCTTCGTCTCTTTTGTATTGCTGAAGCCTTAACCATTCAGTTGGAGAAACCGGAGTTATGTATACAAAAGAAAATAGTCCAACCAATTCTTCTACTATCTTGGTAACAACAGTGTTGACTTCTACTCACTTGATGTTCGTGTGCTTGTTTGTTTTTTCTAACTCCTTATAACATTTGTAATTTTTAGACCTCTTACATATTTCCATATTTTTTTTTGTTTCTATGTGCATCTTAATCACAACTCACTGATTAAACTATTCATCTTGTTACGTAACTGTGTTACATATATTGAACTTCTTTTATGTGTTGATTGACATTAATAACTATGTTTTTGACGACACATCACCACTACGTATCATTGGTATAAGAATAGAACTTGAGTACTGTGGTAGAGTATAATTCCATTGTGGGTTAAATTTATTTTTGATAGTCTCAAAGTGTTATACAGTAATATTTACTGATGACGTTTCGAGCACAATTTATTGCTTACAATCATATCAAGTTCCCCCACAATGGAACATTACCATTACCCTCTTACCAATCTTCCCCTCCTCCCTAGTCACAATTTGACTAATCCACACATTTTCTGAAATGTCTTGACGATAATAACCCTAAACTATCTTTATTCTTATTGGACAAACCTGATACACATACATACACACAAAAATAAGTATATATAATTGCGGCTGTACATTGTTCTCTGGCGGATCCACCAGAGAGTGCCTTTCTCATCAAATCCTACCGACCAGTGTCAGATACAAACCACCAGACAACTGCCCAATGGGATGGAAATCGGCCGAACAATGTGGAATACGAATGGTCAAATTAATGATTACAGACGCACATTATCGGATCAACAATTATCAACAAATAATAAATGTCCAAAAAGAAAAACTAAAGAAAACCCTCAACCAGGAACACCTGTTAACGCTGATCACCGCAATTACATTGTGAAGTAGAAAACACAGAGAACCAAGACGAAGAGTCGTCAAAACCAAGCTAGCCAAGATTAGAAAACAACAACCAGACAATACACCTATTGACTGCGTAGTCAACCTATCAAAACAACCACTATCTAAAACGGAACAACAACTACTACGAAAAGGATTAAACTATAACACCGGAGATGCCTCGAGAACTGATTTCTTCGCTGCCCTTGCGACTGTACAGCTAAGTAAATCTATTCGCCGAAAAGAGTCTCTTCGCTGAACTATTTGTTTTGTTTTCATTAATTTAATTTCAATTTTTGGTCTAATGTTGATATATGGAGTCAATAGTTTACTGGTAGAACACTCGCCAGCAATGCCTCACGTGTTCCAGGGTTCAATCCCCAGCCTCTCTTAGTCAGCAACAAGCCCGCTAAACAGGGGACATTTGGAGTGAGGCTAGCAACTTCACTCTGTAAAAAAGAACACCACTTGTACTGACACTTCGAAGTTTCGAAGCAAAGGAATCATGATAATAATATGGCGACCGTAGCTTTAACCTCTTAACGCACTGCTTGGGAGTTCTTAACACAGTGAAACAAAACAGCTTCTCATCTCTCTATGACTTCCCTTGACTTTTCGTTTAAATTAACCCAATTCACAAAAACCCAACATTAGAATATGCATATTTACAAGGAGTATATTAAAAAAATTTATAAGTGCCTTACTCAGTAGTGATAAGAACACGTTCACTTCACATTCATTTGCAATAATACTGTCAGAATTGTAAAGATCTCTGAAACAGAAAGTTAGAAGAAGAATAATGAGGAATACGTTGAAAAGTAAATTCATCCACAGGTGAAACATTCATTTTTTGACAACTTTGTCTTCTAAGCTGTACATTAGTATTTATATTACATAAAGTGATAGCTAGTAGTAGTACTGAAAAACAATTGCTCACTCAATATAAATAGGACAAAATCAATAAAACACAAAAATCAATAAAACATGATTGTTAATAGGGTAGAAGTGGATGGAATACAAAAAAGAATGATATTTGTCTTAAAATAAAAGCAATTACATCATATTATATTATTATTCCCTTGGGTTCCTAGTAGAACATACGGCTTCAACTACACGTCTCCACTTGCTTCTGTCTTCTGCTGTACTTTTCACCTGCATCCATGTTAGTCCATGCTGTTTCAACTCCCCTCAACACGATCTCCTCCATGTCACCCTTGCACTGACGTCCCACTCGCCGCTTCCCTTTCGGGTTCCACTCGAGCAATGGCCTGATGCGCGATGTCACCCAACGGCCTCCTCAGCCAGTGAGTGTCCAATCCATCTCCACTTTCTCCTGCATATTTTTTGGGCGATTGGTTCCTGTTTTGTTTGTTCCCATAGCTTCTTGTTGATGATTCTTTCCGGCCATCTGATCTTCAGTATAGAGTGAAGACAGTTGTTGTTGATAAAGGTCTGCAACAGGCTGTTGGAAATATTCTATGTCACCCACCAAGTTTCTGATCCGTATAAAAGAACTGACTGACTTGATGTTTGTATTGAAAATCCGAATTTTGTTGTTGATGTTGAGGAGTGACGAAGATTTCCAGATTGGTTTCAGGTTGATGAATGTGTTTCTCGCCTTCCCGATTCTCGATTTGACATCCTCGTCCGTTCCTCCTGTAGTTGAGACAATGCTCCCTATATAAGTGAATGAAGTAACGTCTTTCAAATCCCTCCCGTTGATGGTGATTGGCTCTGGATGTTGCTGCTGCTGTTGTTGTTGTTGGTTGATTATTTTCATAACCTCCGTCTTGTCTATGTTCACCTGGAGTGTCCTGTCTTTGCTGCTTCTTCGACCAGTTTGTCGGTTTTCGTTTGTAAGTCTTCGATTTTGTGTGACATCAAACATAAATCATCCACGCGCGAAATCCAAGTCTTCTAGGTTCTTCACGTCGGTGGTCCAGGATATCCCTGTCTTCTCGTTTCCCACTGTCTGACGCATAATCCAGTCCACCACAATTAGTGATATCATTGGTGATAATAAGCACCCTTGTCTGACTCCTGTGTTTACTGCAAACGCCTCGCTGGTTTTCCGTTGTTGATCACTTGACATGTGCCGTTGTCGTACAGCTGTTGAATAAGGTTACTAGCTCGCTAGTTTTCTAGCCGGTCCCAAGCCCGGATAAAGAGGGAGGGTTGGGGCGTGGTGCTAGCAACTCCACCCCCAAAACTTAACCAAATTGCTACAGAAACTTCAACGCACAAATATATTAAAAATTCTAAAAATATAAACAAATATATAAACATCTTATTATATTTGAAAAAAAATTTCTGAAATCACAGCTAGCCTACTGAAACGCTTTAGAATAGATGTCGCCCAAATAAATCCAGTGCACTCGCTGGACTCTATATCGTATAAATTAAAAGGCCCAACAGTAAACTAGAAAAAAGAGAAGCAACATCATCTACAAGACAGATTGCATCAACTGCCAAGACACTATGGTGATCGATGTGGACCCTCTTTTCATCTTCGTGTCCACAATCACAAAAAAAGCTCCGGGGACAAACAACTACAGTCAGAGTCAAAAATGAGGACGGTAATATCACTTGTGGAAAATTCCAATAGCCCGCCTCAATTTGAAGGTAGAAGGGTGAAAATGCTGTCTAGAAAACCAATGAAGGCTTCACAGTCAAACCATCTATCTCAGAGAACTCTACATTATCAAAAAACACCCACTGGAGTTACAAATCTTCTCTATTATTTCAATATTAAAGTTTCTATGTCATGATACAAGTGTGAAAAAAGTTAATAACTTAATATGAAATAACAGTTGAAGGAATGATAAATGAAGTTGAAAAATTAGTAGGTATTTTTAAGGTTTGAAACAATCCGCATTCAACCTTAGCTTGTGGTGAGAACTGTTTGCTAGCTGAAATTGGTAGACAAGCAATTTACGTCAATGTTTACGCTCCATATCTTGGTCATGAGAAAAGAACAAGAACGAAGACTTTGCGTAGGTGGATACGATTCGCATATATATGGTATGCCCATCAAAGAAACAGCCACAAAGAGATGACAGATTAACCTCCAGTGAGAAAACAACCAATCAGAAGACACTGTTTCTCTGTTGATAATTACGAATAGTAATGTACATGAGAATCTATAAATATCGGTTGATTTCCTAAATAAATAATCTGTTGCCTGGCCCTTGTCTTCTGTTGTTACAAATTGAACAAATGCTGAAGCTTTTGCTTGAATGTCTTGTAAATAAGTGAAGCGTAACCGTGCCTCCATATAAAATTAAACAGATTGTCAATTTATAGTGTCAAAGATTCATCCGAAGGTTCACATGAACTGGATCGTTTGAATATTTCAGACAAACTCCTGATATCGTATGACATTTCTGCATAATTTACAAACACTATAATTGATGAAGAGACATTGAGAAATCATGTGCCGGTAGTCTGAATTACTTTTTCTATCTGAAAATGAGTTGAGACGGTTATTTCTCTTTTGCGACAAGAGTATTCAGTTCCATTTCAATAACCTACGATACTGGCAAATGGATAGAGTAACTACGGATTCGCCTATGGGCGTTATTCTTTCGGACATATTCATGGCTCAACTTAAACATACGCAATTCACATACTAATTAGAGAAGACCAAATATTTCTGAAGGCACGTAGACAATACATTAGTGTTTGCAGTAATATGGGCCATTCATCGACCATACTTGGAAAACTCAATGTATCTCATCCTCAAATTAACTTTACAATGAATTATGAAGGTAACAACCATTTTGACTTTCTGGATCCTGACATAAGGTGAAGAAATTTATTTATTTTTTTTGATTACAGCTTGATGCCACGCCGTCTTTTCAGTACAAGTATGGAATTTTCAGCATGGATATCGGTAGCCCAAATTTAGCAGGCCGACCATAGATATCGGATGTGTGTCGGCAGGAGATCGAACCCCGGACCATGTGCATGGTCGGCGAGAGTCCTAACCACTGTGCCACCGACGCACTACTGAAAAAAAACAATCTATAGAAAAGAAAATGAATGGGTTAATACTTGAATTATCACACTTTCTGTTCAATCGGCTACAACACAGAGTTTCGTCAGAATGCTGTTCATTGGAGTGAGTGTTTAGAAAATAAGACTGATGAAGAACTTATCATTACCTACAAAAACATCTGTTGGAGAATTGATATATATCAATAAAGTATTCATTGTTATGATTTTGTTTCTTGAAGTGATTCATGAACTGCTTATTGATTAAAAGAATCTGACAGGAGAATCAGATTGTTAAAAACACTTTGATTAATAATTCCAACTTAGTGTAATTTCTTGTTAACCTTTAAAGGTTATAATGAACAAACGGTTTCTTTTTATGCAGTACGTTGATAAACATGGACCTAATTCAAATCTTAGTGGAAAACATTCTGGTTGAAATGAATAAGATATAAATTTTCAGACTAATAAACATTATATTCTAAAAGAAATTCGTTTTTTTAAAAATAGCTCATAAAGTCATGAAATATTTCGATAGGCCGGAGGCATTACTACTGTAACAAGAGAAGACAAGAGCCAGGCAACAGATCATTTATTAAGGAAATCAACGCATATTTATATATTTTCATGTACATTATTATAGATTAGTTAAGCAAACAAACACAGTCTTCTGATTGATTGTTTCTCACTTAAAGTTAATCTTTCATCTCTTTGTGACTGTTTCTTGAATGTCAAATCATCTATATGTTAACTGTATCCGCCTACGCAAAGTCTGCTGTGGTCGGTTTTTGAATCAGTCTTTGTTCATATTTTCTCACGACGAATCTTGAGAACGTAAACATTGACGTAAATTACTGTCTACCAATTTGGCTAGTAGACAGCTCTCATCACACTACTACCTTATGAATATATAGAGTTGTGGTTCAGCAGTGGGATACTCGTCAATCACCCGCATGGTCTAGGTTTCAGTCCCTGGTTATGCACTCCTAAACCTCACTTGGGAACCGGTAGTAAGCCCAGAAGAGAGGAGAGGTTGGGCGTGAGGCTAGCATTCTCACCCCGTAGAAATGCTACAACTACTGGAACTTCCAACCTGAAGCTTGCAGCCGTAAGTTCCACTCAGAACGCAAGGGAATGAAAGCAAACAATATAATGTCTGTGAGATATGTGAACTTTTAGATGAAGCATAGATTTCAGGGTTAGTGTAATCCTAAAGATACTGGCACTCACTGCCACCTTCTGTACTTTGAATTGAGGAGTTAGGAGGAGTCAGTTTGCAGAAAAGCTTACAAAGACGTTTAGTGTCTGTTAATACACATCAAAATACTACTTCTGCAGTTTGATGGCACGTCATTTAGTTTCAGTGTCAGAGCATTTTCAGCTAAGATATTGATGGGATTAATGATTCTCTCCCGGAGCAGAAAATTTATACAGATTAGCCACCAAACAGGAAATGTTAAATCTCATTTTTAAGCCATGCATATATGTAGAAACATTTTTAAAAAAATCACTGTTCATAATAGTTGAATAGTTTGTTTAACATTATCATGGAGGTATCAAGAAGAAGAAGAAGAAGAGATATAGTTCAAGTAACAAAAGTCATTGCTTACTTCGCCTCTTTGCAGATATGTCGAACAATACTTTCCAGTAGTCTTTCAATCAAAGCGAAATGAATCCAAGCGATTTTTGAGTTATAACTGAATTAATTAGAGTGATAACAAAAAAGTAGATTAACAGTCAACTGTTGGTTAGCGAATATATAAAGAGCAACCAACTCAGAATAACAAATATAAAATAATAATTCATAGATATCCTAGAAGCCTGGTAATCAAACTGTTATGCAAACTACAAACTGGTTAAAAAAAGATCAGTCTTGCTGAAAGTTAACAAATTGATGAATGCCAGTATTAGTGATGTTAACTCAGCCTTTAAGGTCATCTATAAAAACGGTCAAGGACGTTTACTGAAATACGCTGAGGTTATAGCCATTCATAAACTTAAGCCCCCCTTGTGTATTCAAAAACAGTTTGTTATTACTCTTAACCTACCTTGGTAATCCTTATTTGATTGGATTACCAAACGTTTGTGTTAATTATTCCTAATTCTTTTTTTGTCACTTTGTTTAATTTAACTTTTCCATATATATTGACTTGACAAGTAAATGTGTGATCAGATTGTTCGAAATGTATAGCGCTAATACATCACATTTTTCACATAATCTCCGTCTTCTAATAACGCTATGAAAATTTATAAAAGGAACTAACTGTTTTAAATTATCATTATTCCTTTAAGTTCCTAGTGGAATACAGGGCTTCAACAAAACATCTTCATTTCATCCTGTTCCCTGCAGTCATCTTTAGGTGGTTGCACAATTACCCACATGCTTTTATCTCCTCCTCACATGATCACCTACTTGTCATTCTTGGACGCCCCATTCATCCGAATCAGGTTCCACTGGAGGTTATGCCTGGCTTACGATGCTATTCAGAGGTTTCCTCAACTTGTGTCCATCTCTAATTCCTACAGTATATCTTTTGAGCTTTAGGTTCTTGAGTGTTTCGTTTCCAGAGTTTCCTGCTACTAATTCTTCCTGGCAGAACACCTGTTCTTCAGTATGCAGCCAAGAAAGGCAGCTGTTGATAAACGTCTGCAATGGCTTATCCAAAAATGGTTTCGGTGACGCATAAGCCAAGTCTCTTGAGCATACTGAGACTGTGACCGATTTGACTTTAGTCTTGGAAATCTGAATCTTGTTCTTTATACTGAGTCCAATAGATTTCCGAACTGATTGCTTATTCCATTATGGGTGGCTTTGACAACTTCATCAGTGCTGTCTAGATACGTGAAATAGGCGACTTCTTTCAAATTTCTGCTAGCGAAAATGATTAATGCTTGTTGTTGATGTTGTAGGTTAGCCGTTTTCATCATCTCCGTTTTCTCTATGTCCATTTAGATTCCGCTCTTTACTGAAGCTTCTGCCAAATTGTTGGTTTCCTAGTTTGTATGACAGTAAACATAAATCGTCCTTGAAGTCTAAGCGAGAATAAATTCTTTGCTATTTTTTTCTGTATGTTGAACTTTCTGTAGCCATTAGGTTGATTTGCTGGGGTTGGGGTTGTAGCTCCAGACCCAAACTTTCATCTTTCTTCTGGGTTAGGGTTAGCTAGCAAACTATACGAAGTTAGACATACGTGAATTCAGAATATTTTACAATTATGTAACCTTTAATAATTTTGGTTTGGGTGAAATTCTAAACTTCCGCTTTCAATAATAATAACTATAAATATATGCAGTTTGCCTTTCATATCATTTGTGACACCAACGATGAGTATTTTCATTATTTATCTATTCTGCTTGTTCACCCTGTGTTAGAAACTTAGCGGTAAGTTGTTCAAATCTTACGAAACTCCATACTGATACGACTTCAGACCGTATGTATTTGAGAAAATTTCTCAATATAAGAATATTTGAGCATATAACGCAATATTCAGGTAGGTAGTTACCTGGGGTTCTAGTGGGAAGTCGTGACCAGTAGGGTACAGAACGTCAAAGTTGAGGCAGTAACTCATCGAAGAAGACACTGCGAAATGGTAGCGTTATGTCGTGAATTGGCAGAAGTTAGAATTCATGGTCTGGCCATTGGATTGGGTCCCAGTGGCTCAATGGTATATGAGCTCGCCTTGTAACCAGAAGGTCCTGGGTTGGAACTCTGGTGAGTGCGTACTGATGAAAAGTCCCAAACTGGGACGGAGAAAACAGCTGTCCAGTACTCTCAGGTTTTCCAATGGTTCTCTAACTAATGTCACCTCATGATGAAATCCTGTAACCTATACATTACTGATTGGCTGGCTGTAATTCATGCCAGCCAGATAAGTTCAGTCATCGTAATTACCTGAAGATTTGAACTTATTCGTCTCAGTGAGATTAGGTGATTAGGACATACCGCTGATTAGTTTGGCCCTAAGTAAATGAAGCTGATGTCCGGTGTTTAAATCAGCTTGATATGACTAGTAAGCATTACTGATTCATATGAGTGATGTCAAACTACTTATGTCAGGAAAATAGTAGTATATACTATGACGCATAGATTCTTGCTTTCTTGATTACTATTTATAGTGTCAAGCAAACCACATATATTGAGATATAAATAATTTCGATTTCCAAAGAAATGTCTGCTGACATTTCACCTCGAACTGTGTAAATTAAAAAAATGGGAAGCTTTTTGTTTAAAAACCTGAGCGCTAATCTTTCTATTCTAGTTGTGCTTAATTTTATAGAAAAGAGAAGTTTCATGAATTACATGATTTCATAGACCAAAGTCATTGAACTAGCCTCACAATCTGAAGGTCCTTAACTCAAATTCATTTTGAGTTCGTAAATGAACAATCCTGAAGACTCGTAAATTAGCACAAGGCGGATGTCTAGTACTCCTTGGTGTTCACTGATTACGTTGTAACCAAGGAGATTATTACGTGGGTATATTAACGATGAAACGTAATAGGTAACTCAACTGTAAATACAGAATAAGACTGTTCTCCCTAAAATGCCTTCTGCTCCACTGACACACAAAAATATGAGAAGAAGACAAAGGCTCGTCTGTGACTATAAGAACAAATTCATTTTTTTTAAAAAAAACAGAATCCTACTTATATAATTCAAAAGCAGATAAAATTATACTTGGTCAGTAATCAAATAGACTAATTTGATTGGTTGTATAAGGTTAAAGGTTGACCAATAAGATTACTAGGTTCACGTAACAATATAAATATACACATGAAGCACGAAATCTTATAAAAACTCTCGTTTTAGCCTTTTTCTATCATATCCTCTAACTGGTGTCAGTCTGTGACAAAATCCACACTGAAATTAATCCATACTTCTCCAAGACTTCAAATATGCATATGGATAGAATTCGTTTAGAAATCAACACATTAAAATCAGTGAAGAGAAAAAAATCGAAGATCGTTTCGAAAAATTACCTGAGTTTTGGACACAACTTCTTTCCTGTTAGCGATTTTCTTTCATAAATTTTATTTCTTTTATCAACATGATGAAAAATAATGTTTCCTAAATGCAGTTTATCTCCAGTTCTGTTAGTTGGTCCACTTGACTGGGATCGGTGAATATTGGTACCCGTTTTTGTTTCAGCATGACTTTTATTATTAGTAGTATTATTACAGTTATTATTATTAGTATTATTTTTATATTTCATAAACTTATCGATGACTGTTGAAGCTGCTTCACATTGATGAGAAATTTTATACAGTATTGAAAATGTTGATGGACATTGAGAGAATGGGATAGGTGAAGTTTTTAGGCCAATTCGAAGACATTCATGAACTATTTCTATAATGAAATGCAAAAAAATATGTATGAATATATGTGTAAAACCTGGGCACTGTGATAGTAAGTAATTCCATGTTAGTTTGTTTATTAGATATATCACACACAATGATGAAACAGTATTATTTACTGGATAACGTTTCGAACACAATTTATTATTGTTCATAATCTTATCAATTGTGATCACACGACTTTGACACTTGAGTTTTATAGTTTTCTTTGTTTTATCCTATTTGTCGTAGGGGTAGTAGAATTTTCCAGATTGCTGGGACAGGTGTTGAATCATTCCTATTACATGTATTCTCTTCAGTTGATTCGATAAACAAAGCTTCTGTTATCGATCTCTCCTTATACCCTGTGACATTAGATTTTAAAACTGTCATCCTATCTCATCCATCCTATTGTATGGTTGTGTGTAATTGCATGTAGTGAGTGGAATAGCTGAACTATTCTCTAGATTTCTTATCTTATTCGGATCAACCAATCTAGATTTTGCGAAGTGTTTATGTTCAGCTAATCTGACTGCCCCTGTTCCACTAGTTTGACCTACGTATTTGACCTGACAATCATCGCATGCAGTGTATTATATAAACTAAATTGTTTTGTTTTAAAAGCTCCACTTGCAGGATCCTTTAACCGACAAAGTTTGTTTCTAATTGAGTTTGTGGGTTTGAATGCCATTTTTATTCCTGCTTGTTAAGAATTCTGCGTAAGGCTTCCGAGGTTCCTTCCTTGTATGGAATTACTACTGATGATTTAGTATGAAATATAGAAGAAAAATGAGGATATCAAAGCCAGACAGACAGACAGAATTGGAAAGACGAGATATGCGCGCCTTCATCAACCTGATACCAGTTTAGAAATCTTTTGCACTCATACAGTGTAAAGAACAAGATTCAAATTTTCAACGTCAATGTCAAGTCACTCAGTTCTTCTATATGGGTCAGAAACTTGTACTGCCGCTGCAAAGTTTTATCAATAACTGCCACCTTTGATGGCTCCATACTGAAGATCAAATAGCTGGCTAGAAAAAGATAGGCAACAAAAACTCTGGCTTGGAACAAACCAACCAAGAGCTGATCGCTCAACAAATATGTAGGAGAAAATGGAGATGGATCGGACACACGTTGAGGAGGCCGTTGAATGATACTGCGCTCAATGCAGGCCATTACTCAAGGGCAATCCTAATGGGAAGCAACGAGTGGGTCGTCAATGTGAGCATGACATGGAGGATATCGTGTGTCGAGGAGGGGAGGAGAGATTATGGTCAATCGTGGACCTGGCTGAAGAGAACAACAGAAAATAGAACAAAGCGGTGATGTGTTGTTGAAGCCCTATGTCCCAAGGGGATAATAAATAAATAATAAAATAGAAGAAAAAGTGTATATTAGTGACACATCAGAATGGATGCTGTTTAACTTAGCAAAATGTTGTAGACTCAGAAAACATTTTAAATTGAAGGGAAGTTGAAAGGCTTTACAGCCTGTGTTCATTATATCGCTTAATAATCTTTATAGTATTCATCAAAATCTCTATCGGTTTAAGTGGACAATTAAACTTAAATTTCAATTCAATTGTAGTTGGTGAAATTCTCGATTGTAGTATTCATCAGTTATACTTAAATATTACAACATCTTACTGTATATTTTGGTAATAATAATCTACTTTATTCCGAAAACAGTAGTTATAATACAGCATGGAATTCTCAGCATTTATCACAATATTGCATCTGATTTACCCAAGATATAAATAAAAGTAACCACAGGAATTTGTCCACATTTACAGTAGGAATAAAGTCAAAAGTATTCGAAGTACAAAATGAGAATAATAAATATAATAATAGTAATGATAATAAGAGTGAGTTTGTTTCAAACAGTATTGTCGATTCAGTTTGGAAATTTTAGCATGTTATAGATTATTGAATCTAATGTTCTGTTGAAATAGCATGGTGAGGGGAAAGACAAAAAATAACAGTTATTACACAGCTTAAATGATGTTTACACTTATGAGAAAATAAACAAAAACGTTGAGAGGATTATAAATATAAAAAGAACAATAACAATAGAGCTTGGTGGAATAAGGATGGGGAAAATGGTTTGTTTACTAGCGCAAAGAAGGTTAGTTAGTTCGTCCCTGACACTGTTTTCACCACATAAAATACGTGCCCTCAAATTTGGTATAGCGGAATTTTTATACTTCGACGTAGGTGTATAAAGTCTTTTGAAATGACTTCTTCTTTTACCTGAGGAGACACAAAGTTGGAGCTGCGAGCGAAGTAGATGCTCACAGTCTGACGTAATTCTTTTAGCAAATTTATTGCGTGAAATCAAGTGCCTATCAGTGACAATGTCAACGATATGGCCCAATAGAAAACCACTCTCCCCACTGACAGTCTTCAGAGTTCTACAAAGTATGACATAATCTTTTTAAGCAATCCAGGAAAGAATAAGGGTGAACAGTAAAGAAGAATAGGTAAAATACACGAGTTGACAAACTGTAAGAGGAGGGGTTGAGTTATGCCTGAGTGCCTCAACTTCTTAATGTAAAATGTCAGACGAAATATTCTTTTAGAAATCGCTAAGACATGGGACGACCAGGATAGGTCAGTTGAAAGAATTAATTCAAGATACTTAATTTCAGACTTGATTTCTATATCACTATCATCAATTTTGCAACGGTCATAGGAACCAACAGCTTCATTTAACTTTTTTACATCGGAAACTGACATTAACAGTCTGTCATTTGGAAGGACTTAGTCTAAGGCCGTTAGACGAAGACCATTTGCTGACTCCGGATAGAAAGCTGATCGTCTTAGTACAGTCTAGCTGGGAGTTAACAGACATTGAAACAGTTAGATCGTCGGCATACTTAACAAAGTTCACTTCATCATCAGAGTGAGGGAAGTCATGCAAGAAGAAAGAAAACAGAAAAGGAGAAAGGACAGCGCCTTGAGGGACACCAGCCTCAGTAAGCAATGAAGTGGACGACTTCCCCTGACATACAGTGTACTGCTTTCTTCCTGAGAAATAAGAATGCAGCTATTTGACAACCCAACACTCAGTTTGAGTTTCAGCAAGCTTGTTTAACAAAATGTCCCTAGGTACTGAGTCGAAAGCAGATGTGTAATCTAGGAAGGTGCAGCGAACAAATTTAGCCCCTTTGCCTAAACTGGAGACAATGTTATGATGCAAGACCGCAGCTGCATCAAAAGAACTTCTAATGTGATTATAGGCGAATTGTGTGGAATCATTAATGGGTCGAAGATTAAGTAAGAGTAACTTTTCCATAGTTTTAAGAAAAGGAGAGGTAATAGCAATAGGTCTAGATTTAAAACATGTTCCAGTAGATGACGTGGGTATAGGTTTAATTTTAATGTCCTTTCAAACGGCTGACACGACATTTCTAGAACAAAATTCATTAAATATGCTAATGAGAGGATAACATAAGTTATCTGAACATTTTTTAAGAATAACGCTAGACAAATCATCTGGTCCTACGCTACAAGAAGGGTTTAGTAACTGGAGACATGACATATGTTCTACTCGGAACGCAGAGGAATAAAATAATAAAAAGTATATAAAGTCTTATACGACAACGGATACCCCGAAAAATTTATTAAAGTCTCCATGAGGAGAACAGATAGAAGGAAATGTCTGCAAACTGTGCATATACATGATTTTATCGTTTAAAGGAGACGCAGCAACTGAATTGCTGGCATTGAAACTTCAAAAAATAATAGCTAAAACATTCTTTGCTGTAACATTGTGTTGAAAATTCGCCACTCGTTGTATAATTCCAAGGCAGCTGAAGGATAAGCTACTGAGTATGACCACTTCAATGTGCATTTGTAAATTTAACTATTCATATGGAGACAGTCACATAGGTAGAACGACTCGGCAAGCCCACCATCGCCTTCTGGGGCACTGTCAAACGTGGTTAGATAAAGGAGTGTCATGTCAATCAGAAGTTTCATACTGGCACACCTAGTAGATACGGAACACAACAGTGATAAAAATTCAGCTTATACAGCTCTTTACAGGGCGCCACTTCAACTCTCTAGGTAGATACTTCTTCGGTTGCTAAGCTTAGATGAGGCAGTTGCCATAATGATTTTTCAACCTATTCTCTGTGTTCAGAAAATGTTTGTTCAATCTCTCTCCCTCCCTTGGCATTCTCCTCCAACCTAAAGTGGTTATCTCTCTTGGTGACACCGGATAACTGTAAATATTATCTTATCATATTTTTATTTTATTTGTAATGCCTAGTGTATTATCAATATCATGTTGTGCTGTAGTTGTACATTTTATGTTGTCGGTTTAACAATTAATCATTATTATTATATTATCTAACTGCTATGTGACAATAGTTATCTTTCCCTCTATTTTCTATAGTTTGGTTTGTAAGGGTTAGTTATGTTTTACGAGTTGATCACGGATTGATATCAGTTAGAGAACCATTGAAAACCAAGGAGTACTGGACAACTGCTGTTTCATCCTAGTTTGGGAATCATCGGCAGTATGCACCCACTGGGATTCGAACCCAGGACCTTCCGGTTACAAGGCAAGCTCGTATATCATTCAGCCACTGGGACCCGATTCAGTGGCTCGTGAATTCTAACTTCTACCAATTCGCGATTTAGTGCGACCCCAACCACTATCGTAGGTGGGACATCCATCTTCACACGTGACATCCCGATAGACCTCACTGGTCACGACTTCTCACTAGAACTCCAAGAAACTCCATCCTGTAGCAAGCTTGCCTTGTAACTGGAAGGTCCTGGGTTCGAATCCCAGTGGGTGCGTACTGCCGATTATTCCCAAAACTAGGATGAAACAGCTGTCCAGTACTCCAGTGCTGGTTTTCAATGGTTCTCTAACTGATATCAATCCGTGATCAATTCGTAAAAACATATTTGCTTAAATCGTGTTCTGTATTCAAAAGATGTTGGAAGCCTCGGATTGGTATATAGTTCTACCACTTGAATTAACTGAAAACTGGTAAAT